ATTTATTGAAGGCAAAAAAATCTTAGTATTTTAGATTTAGGCAGCTATAAGGTTTCAACTTTCCGGCATAAAATGGTATCTTGGGGCTGGGGAGATAGCTTGGTGGTCTAAGCACCTGCCTGGCAAGGACGGGGACCCGGGTTCATCCTCAGTACTGCATGCTGTGCCAGCCCTGGAACCCTGCTGTGCCATGCCAGCCACCGAAATTGGTGGCTCACACCTGTCATCTCAGTGCTGGGGAGGCTGACACAGGAGGGTCACTATGAGTCTGGGCTGTAGAGTAAGACCCTTTACCAAATAAATAAATAAATAAACCATTAAAAAAAGATGTATTTCACCTCCAAAACACGAAAATACACCTTCATATGCTCATGATGGAGCCAGGATTCCATGCCTTTTTCTTTGGCCACAGGACCTCAGCCCTAAACTCACTGCATAGCCCAGGCTGGCCTCCAGCTTTACGTCTTGCTGCCAGGCTGCTCTGACTCACTGCTGTCCACACATGGCCATCTGTCCCATCATGTGGCACAGCTGCTTGAGGACAGTGACACGCGTGCCACTGGAGTGTGTCAGACCCTCCCCTACCCTTCCTGGCGTTGGGGCTCAGCCCAGGGCCTGGCACACCGGGAACGTGCTCTACCACTAAGCCACACCCCAGCCCACATTAAGTCTTTTTAAAAATACCTAAAATCATAAATGGGTTATTCTGATTGCTTGACACAAAGATTGGTAGAGGAGATATAGGTATTTTACAATGGATAGCTGTATGTAGAACTTAATTTTTCTTTTAAAACCCAGGCAATACACATTACAAACTTGTTTGCAAACAATCCTGGACAGGACATATTTTTTGGCCACAGGGTCTCCTTGTGAAATAGCCCAGGCTGGCCTTGAACTCCTGGCAGTCTTCCTGTCTCAGGCGCCCAAGTGCTGGGATCACAGACAGGAGGCTGTCGTACGGCCGGCCGGCCACGGGAAACGCATTCCAGTAGGCAAGCACTGCTGGAACCTAGGTTCTTCAACTCCGAGCTGAGTGAATGCAGAACTTCAGAAGTTACTTATCTATGGTGAAATTACACTTAGGAGGTTGTTGTGGGTCAAGCTGGTAGTAGGTCAGCTCTGATAAGAACTGAAAACTGTGATATAATTTTTTATTCTTTTTTTTGCGGAACCGGGGATTGAACTCAGATCCTTGCATTTGCCAGTCAAGCGCTTATCCTACTGAGCCATCTCCCTGGCCCAATTTTTTATTTTTATTGGAAACAGGGTCTTGCTTTGTAGTTCATGCTAATGAGAACTCATGCTGTAGTCCAGGCTGGCCTTGAACTCTTGGCAATTGTCCTGCCTCAGCCTCCTAAGGGCTGGGGTTACAGATGTGGGTCACCATGCCTGGCTTGTCTTTATTCATTTTTAAGTGTAGCAGAATATTCACTTTGAGGTAATTTTAAAAGGCAATATTAGGTCAGGTGTGGTGGCTCGTGCCTGTAATCCCAGTGCTGACAAACTGAGGCAGGAGGATTACTGTGAATTCAAGGGTAGCCTGACCTACAAAGTGAGTTCAAGGCCAGCCTGAGCGGCATAGTGAAACATTACCTCAAAAAGACATTAAAAAAAAAAGCAACATTAACAACAAAGTTAACCCCCTCTGCACTTTTTTGGGTCCCAGGTATCGAACTCAGGACCCTATACTTGCCAAGCAGGTGCTGTGCCGCTGAGCTATCTCCCCAGCCCACAAAGCTAGTTCCTAACCACATACTTAAAACAAAAATTTTCCTACTTTTAGAATACCTACTGCTTGGAATTATTCCCCAGCTGTTTTTTTTTTCAGAG